GAGGAATAGAAGAAAATTATGGATGGGGTCATGACACAAATGAAAAAGAGATAAGTTTAATAGCTCCGCTTAACCCTTGGCCTATGGATAATCCGTGGTTAATGAACGATAACGAGATAAGTGAAGGATGGAATAACGAGCAACGCATTGATGAATTTCTCGAATTAACTCCAAGAACCTCGTCAGACAAAGGATACGAAGAGATCACCGACTTTTATTTCGACGAAAAAGAAAACCCAGTTGTCACCTATAACACAGAAGACTTACCTGTAGAACATAAGGATCGATTAATATCGATCCTAGACGAAAACTCAAATCTGTTTGCAAAGAGTATCTCCCAACTCGGACGAACAAACAGATGTCAACATAGGATAATCACTAGTGATGCCCTCCCAATCAAGCAACGACCATATCGCTACTCAATAAAAGAAAGGGAGTTTCTTAAGGATGAGTTAAAAACAATGCAGAAAGAGGGAATAATAGAAAGATCATATAGTCCCTGGTCATCCCCCGTAGTTTTAGTCAAACAAGGTGAAAAGAAGACCCGTATCTGTATCGACTATAGGAAACTGAATAATGTTACCAAAAAGGACAATTACCCCCTCCCTATCATAGCTGATCTTTTAGATGCTTTAAAAGGAGCATCATAGTATACATCCCTAGACTTCGCTAGTGGGTATTGGCAGGTCGAGATGGCCCAGGAGGATAAGGAGAAGACAGCATTTGTTATACCCGAAGGGATCTACGAATTTAACGTGATGCCCTTTGGGCTGGCTAACGCCCCCGCTATTTTTCAAAGGTTAATGGACAAAATTTTTCGGGATCTTATAGGAAATTTCATCATCATATACCTTGATGACATTAATATATATTCCAAGACCTTTGATGACCATCTCCTCCATATTCGAGAAGTCTTCCGTCGTTTAAGAGAAGCAAACCTAAAACTAAAACCCCAGAAATGCTTCTTTGCGAAGCAAGAATTAAAATTCTTGGGGTATATAGTAAACGCCGAAGGAATCTCGACCGACCCCAAGAAAATACAAGCCGTCCAGAACTTCCCTACCCCCCGTAACATGAGGCAACTCAGAGGCTTCTTAGGGCTCGCCTCGTATTACCGTAAATTTGTACCAAGAT